AGGAGCCAACTAGGCTCTAATACCAACTGTCACAATCACACTTTAACAGGACTCAGAAAGCGATTGTGCGGCACTTGCTTCCACCCTCTAGCAAGTCAGCCAATACGAAATCGAATAGCCGGTGGCACAAAGGCTATATGTCGCAACCTCCACCCCCGTTCACGAGAAAACGGTTTTGGAAAACGTTTGAAAGCATTTTGGAAAGTTGTTGTAAGCTTGAATACAAGAGAATAGATTAGGGGCAAGACAAGAATACAACGCAATATAGGGAGGATGACTAGGTGTACCCCTATAGTACATTCTAAGGCATAATTGCTATGACAGGCATGAACGTGCAAAGTGGCGAGGAGTCACTCGCTACCAATAGTACAAAGAAAAGAAAATAACAAGTAAAACTAAATACATGACATAAAAATACGTGGAAAGAGGTTGTTATAGGCATGCGGCCAGCCAACAGGCCCCGAGCATGACCATGACACCCAGCCTCCAAGCATCTTCACACTTTTTTGGGCGCCGACAAACTGATTGTCCATAAGGATAATAACACCATCCCAATTTCGCATCACTCAACCCAAACCCTTTTTCGACCAAGCCGCATCGGCACTCAAAGTCCATGCACGACGAGGTGGGGGGTTCCACCTTTTCCTTGGAGCTGGAGCTGAGCTGATAATACATCTTGTGTTTGTGCTACTCGTTTGCGACTTCATTCTTGTATTATTTTATAAAATAATTTTCCTTCCATTGTTAAGCAGAACTTGTGAACTCTCGGAAACTCCCAATTGAAAATCACATTGTTCCTATGCGTCCAAATCACCCAGGAACATAACATAAGCACCACCAGTTCTTCCATGGTTGCATTGTCCAGCATCAAATCCTAATAGTCCAAGATGTTCCAACTTTTCCTGTCAATAACAAAAAGACATAAATTAGGATTTAAAAAGGTATTTCTAAGCGGTTTCATTACCTTGCACTCCCAGAACAAAAGAACGTTGTTTCTTTATTCTTCCTGCACAAGACACAACACAAGTCAGTATAGATTCATTTCTTGCATAGATTAGTCTTTGTTATGTTTCTTAATTTGTTAACATATTAGCAACCTTCTTTATATTAAATGTTAGAATCTTTCACTCCTATGTTATTTTTTTAATAAAAAAACATGTTGATATTAAAGATACAGGTAATTTAAAATATAAATATTTTAATAGAAACTTTAAGATTAAATTTATAAAATGTTGAAAATATAAGGACTGATTATGCAATTTAACTAAAGATCATTGTTACAAAATTGAGGAGGTTTGAATTGTCTAAAACGAAGATAGAGGTTAGGTATTGGAATTGAATAGCAAAATCCAAAATGAAACTTTTTTGTTTTATTACTTTTATTTTTTTATTTTTTATAATATAACCTAACAAAAAAAAATGTAGGGGAGGATTCCAAGTTTTGAACTATAAAAATTTAGAAAATTAATCAGGAAGAATAGTAAGAATTTGAATGCGGAAGGATTGACAGGCACCGCTCACAATCCGACACGTGGTTTGAATTTGAGTTGCCCATCAAAAATAAAAAGTAAATTATATTTGTGTTTTTTATTTTTGGCTTTCTATTTTTAAAGGAACAAAAATGATAACTATTTTTTGTTTTAACCACATGTTTGGTAACCATTTTTGAGTTTCCAAGTAAGAAAATTGAAAATACATGTAGAGAGATAAAATTCTAGGTAGAATAGAGATTACAAGTGGGTGAGAGTGAGAATGCTCTCCCTCATCGTGGTATGTTTGTGAAAAATTTTATTCCCATCTCTATCTCGTTTTTTGGTCCGAGAGATGTTCTCGAGAAAAATTATTAGTTTATAATTAATTTTAATTATTATTAGAATTTAAAAAATAAAAAGTATAATAAATATATATTAATTATTAAAAAAATGGAATCGGGAACGGGGTCGAAACATGCATTTCTTATTCTTGGAGTGAGACCCACCTTTAAGATATTTTTGTCATCCCTAATGTAAAGACATGAAAATACAAGTTTAGAAAGATGTAAATAAATTTTTGGAAGATAAATTTTAGAAAGATAAATAAAAATATTAAAAAAAATTAGTGAAAGAAAAGTAGAACAAAAAAGAGAAAAATTTTAGAAGAAAAAAGTAAAATTGAATGGAAAAATATGTTAAAGAAAAAAAATTAGATGGAAAGAAAAATTATAGTAGAAAAAAATTTAGAGATAAACACAAGATTTAAAATATAATTTTTAGAGAAAATAAATAAAAATATAAAGTGAATAAAAGTTAAGCAAAGTCAAAATTTTGAAATTTTTTAAAAGCTACTTATTGGTTTAAACGTGACGTTGTCCCTACTTATCTCGACTTCTAAACTTGTCCGCGCCATATTTCACAGTGCCATTCTCTATTTAAATGCCTAAATTCTTTAATAATTTTCAATAAAAATAAAACTAGTACGATCTAATGTATTAACAAAATAGAAACTCCATTTAATTTTTCTTTTAAATCTGTTACTAGAAGAAGTGGAGGTTGAATTTTAAAATGATAATTTTATCCAAATGATATATATGTAGTATATTTGTAATATATTTAACTACTGATGTATATATGTGATATATATTTGATATACTACTGATATGAATGTCTGTATAATATATATGTGATATACATATGACAATGATATGAATATTTGATATACCATTGATGTAAGTAAAAATTTATGTGACATATTTGAAATAAATAAAAAGAATTTTGCTAGCCATCGCAATTTTCTTTTATTTTTGTCCAAATGAACTAACTAAAATTCATAAGTCTTAAATATCAAAACAAACAAATCTCGAAAGCTTAAACATCACCCCCAGTATCTCATAAAATTTAAATCACACAATTTATATTTTTTTAGGGTGTGATGTTTAGGTATATATAAAATATATATGTATTTATGGAGTGGAAGAAATAGATGGTGCAATCCAGAATTTTCGTAGCCTGTGGTTGTGGGTGTGGATGAATACAATTTAAAAGCGTGTCTCGTCGCTTTGCAAAAGAATTATAAATTAGAAAGAGCCTGCTTACTGAGTTGAATTAAAAATGATATTTTGCGAAACATCCATTGAATTGAACAACTAATTGTTGGAGACATGTTGAATGTTCCAGTTGCCATTTTCGTGCTTGTCCTCAGTTTGGGCATCCGTGGACACGCTCAGGGTGATCCTCACCGTTGCTTCGGCGCCAATTTCACCCAAAATAGCACCTACGAGTCCAACCTTAATGTTCTCCTTTCAAATCTCTCCACCAACGCCCCCGGAAGAAACGGATTCTTCAACTCCTCCGCCGGCCGAACGCCAGACGCCGTCTACGGTCTGTTTCAGTGTGGTGGCGACGCCACCAACGCCACCTGCCGGAACTGCGTAATAGAAGCTTCCAGAAACATAGCCCATCAGTACTGTCCCCTGAGTAAAGGCGTTGTGGTTTGGCTTGACGACTGCGTGTTGCGTTATTCCGACCAAATTTTCTTTTCCTTGGTGTCCCGAGAGCCAAGTTTCCAGTTGGATAATCCAGCTGATATAGGCGTCGACACCACTCGCTTCAACCAACTAGTGGCCTCCACGTTGGCCGCCACCGTGGCTCGGGCCGCTGCCTCGCCCGGAGTAATGTTTGCAACAAACCAAGCAACTTTCACCTCAAATACAACACTCTACACATTGGCACAGTGCACCGGTGATTTGTCAAATTCCAATTGTCAAGAATGCTTAACACGAGCCGCCAGGGAAATTCCCCGTTGTTGCTTTAATAAAGAAGGTGGCAGAGTTTTGTTTCCAAGCTGTTATGTTCGTTACGAAGTTTACCCCTTTTACCAGCTCACCATCACCAATCCAGTACCGCCTCCCCCGCCCACTTCCACAACTCCCACAGGTTATCTTTCTCCTTCAACTCTTTTCCAGCCATAATTAATAAGATGCTGAACACACGTTTATTTGTTGAACAGGGGACACCAGATTCTCCACGCTGATAATTGTAGCCATCGTGGTTCCAGTTCCTACCTCCATATTGATTTTGGTTCTGGGCTGGTGTTTCCTGCTCCGAAGAGAAAAGAAGAAATACACTGCTGTAAACGAAGATAGTGGTATATGTTGTTCTTTTAATAATACTTCTCAAATTCCAGAATATATTGATTTCTGAAGATAATTAGAAACATATTTGCATGTAATTTTTGCAGCTGTTAATGAGATTAGCACAGTTGAAACTCTGCAATTTGATTTCAATACAATCGATGCTGCTACTAACAAATTCTCAGAGGAAAACAGGTTGGGTGAAGGTGGATTTGGTGTAGTCTACAAGGTACCCTGAACAACTACTTAACCTCTCTTTTTTTGGTAAAATTAGCAAACTTCATAGTAATTTATAGGATTACTTGTGATTTATGGGTTATGTGATTTCAGGGAAGGCTTGAAAATGGACAAGAGATAGCAGTGAAAAGACTATCAAGAGGATCTTTGCAAGGCTCTGAAGAGTTCAAGAATGAGGTTATGTTGGTTGCTAAGCTTCAACACAGAAATCTAGTGCGGCTTTTGGGATTCTGCTTGGAGGGTGAAGAAAAGATTCTCATCTATGAATATATTCCCAACAAAAGCCTTGATTACTTCCTATTTGGTTTGTTGTTTGATCATTATCTTTTTATACTTTCGCTTCATATTCCTGTTTGTTGGATTTCTTTCCTCGGTTTTATAATTTGATTCTCTAAAATGTTCAGATCCTGAGGGACAAAGAGAATTGGATTGGTTGAAACGGTATAAGATCATCCATGGGATTGCTCGAGGAATCTTATATCTACATGAAGATTCTCGCCTTCGAATTATTCATCGTGATCTTAAAGTCAGTAACATCTTGTTAGATGAGGAAATGAATCCAAAGGTTTCAGACTTTGGTATGGCAAGGATTATCCGAATTGATGAGACTCAAAGAAATACTAATAGAATTGCTGGTACCTTGTAAGTTAATCCTTTCAATTTCAATTTTAAAGCTTCCAACACAAAAATAGTACAAGAAAATCCATTGAATTGTATTGTGTTGTTGAAGTGATTTATGCTCAATTACTACGTTAATAGTCATTTGGTTAAATCTCAACTAGTTCTTGGCAATACTGTTAACTTTTAGTTGTTTATATCTATGACTTACAATTTTCATTCTTATATGATGCCTGTATTTTAGCGGCTACATGTCTCCAGAATATGCAATGCACGGAAATTTCTCTATGAAATCTGATGTATATAGTTTCGGAGTTTTGGTGTTGGAAATAATAAGTGGCAAGAAAAACAACACCTTTTATCTATCAGGTCTTGCAGAAGACATCTTGACCTATGTAAGTCAATGATGAAGATTTTCAATTCTGTCCTTATCAATTGGATTAAACCTTGCAAATAATGCACTACAAAGTTGACTCATAAATCCCTTCCCATTTTTCTCAGGCTTGGAAACTCTGGAAAGATGGAACACCATTAGAACTATTGGACTCGAGTTTGAGAGACCATCACTCAAAAAAAGAGATGTTAAGATGCATTCATATTGCCTTACTCTGTGTTCAGGAGGATCCTAGTCGTAGACCTTCTATGGCATCCATTGTTCTTATGTTGAATAGTTATTCTGTTACTTTACCTGTGCCTGAAGATCCAACATTCTTCATGCGTAGTAGAGACCATAACATTGTGATAGACAATGATCAACTTGTGAATACGTCTGATCAGTGGTCTGTCAATAAGATGTCTATAACTGAGTTGCACCCACAATGAAGTATGTTTATTGATATCATAAGCGACTTATGCTTAATGATTGTAATGAATTATTTAAATTAGCTTAGTTTTATACAACAAATGTAAGGCGGAGAATTAAACCTTTGAACCTCAAATGAGATATATTTGGTGTCTTTTATCTCCTTAGGCAAGGACGTATGCCATGTGGTCTGTTTTGCTGTTTAAAATATGTTTTCTTTTTAGTTTAATAAATATGTGGGACAAAGATTTAGTGGATATTTTAGTATCTTAATCAAGTTTAAAAGATGTATTGAGTTGAACGGGTATATAGGTTTCGAAAGTTTGATATTAAGATTAAAAAAACAAAATTAAAGGAGTTTGATATTAAGATTTGAATGGCTTTTTTATTCTAGAAATAATGATTCTGGATTATTCTTTGAATTCTCTGGCTTAATGATGCCTCCACAGTTGATCAATTATTTGGATGGAGTTTTGCAGATTGTTGTTCATTGCTGTCTGCTGAATTTTTTTTTCTTTTGTTTTACTTCCTTTCACTACTGTACCTTTAAAATATTCTAAATTTATAAAGAAAAAGTTCAGTTAAAAAATACATTTGTCCTATATTTTCATTAAAGTAACGATTTTAAATCGATTACATTTTAGTTCTTACAGTTAAAAATTAGATTAAAATTTAATAGAAATATGACATGGCAGCAGTATAAATTAAATGGCCGCCTAAGCATAATAATGGGTCGGTTCAACTTTTAAGGGTCGGTTCAAACTTGATTAAATATCATTCTTCCACTCAAAGATAGTGTCCATTGCTGTAAGAGCTCGGGAAACTCCGCTGAACACCGCTGGGGAAATATTGTGGTGCAGCAGGTATTGATAAAGAATATGGGGGCGATGGAGGCGGCTCACGGACGTAGGGCTTCGTCCGAATTTTGATAACCTAACCGGAGTAAGGTTTCGCGGCCGTCGTCAGGCAGTGGATTTTCTTGAAATTATGGATGAATCAATTTGGGCAAAAGAGATGAAGACCTCCGTCAAGTTCGCAGGCGTTGGGTTGTGGCGGCAGACATTGCCGTTAATGGAAATTGCAAGTGACAAATGAGTGGATAAAACAAATTTTAGCAAAATGGGGTTTGTTTCTTTCTACAAGAAGGGTATTTTCAGAGCTCAAGTTTTAAAAAATGGAGGTGATGATTTTACGCAGAGACTGTCAAAGTCATGTTTTTCAAGCTGCGAAAATTCAATCTTGGAGAAGTGGGAAAATATGGTATAAATTGAGAATAGAGATTTTGTCGTCGAGTTGGAGGAGGAGATTTCAATTTTTGTTGCTTTTTTTCTTTAGTTCCTAACCCAAACTGATCCAAGCTTGAAAGTTGAACCCAACCATTATTATGTTTAGGTGGCCATTTAATTTACAGACATATATCTTAGTTGCCCACCACATCATATTTTTGTTAAATTATAACCTAATTTTTAATGACAAGAACTAAATTATAACAAATTTAAAAGTAGAGGGATTGCGTCGTTACTTTTAAAACTTTAGGGACTAAATCATTACTTTAACAAAAATATAGGGATCAAATGTGTTTTTTAACTCAAAAAAAATTTTAAATGACTGTTTAAGAATTGAAAAATAATTTTCAACTTAGAACTCAAACATTTAAAAAATATTTTACAATTTGGTTAATATACCCAATTGAAGATAGATTTTTTTTTAATATATGCTTATGAAGAGATACGGAGACATATTAGTAAAATTAGAATTCTAGATCCTATTCCTAGTATTTTAATATATAAATTTTTATTTTTATTCTTTATAATTTGAAATATTTTATTTTAATCTTTACATTATTATAAAAAATTATTTTGACACTTACCACTGATTTTTATATATATATGTATGTATGTATTAATATTAAACTTAATATTCTTTCTTTTCTTAAGAGAAAATTTTAGGCGTTTCAATTGTTTGTTTTTCGTTTTCTCTTTATCAATAAAAAAAAGTTCAATTGCATGATTTGTAACTGTTCGTTGTTATTCAATTTTTTTAATTGAAAAAAATAAGTAAACTATTGATTTTGTTAGTAGCAGGAGAACAAGAAACTTTTTTTTTGTTTCAAAAAATTTTCTATAATTTTGAGAATGTTTCTAAAATAAATTAGAAACAATAAATATGAATAGTTATCAATTGTTTAAATTTCTCAATAAAATTAGAAATAATAAACGAGAATATTACCAAACGAAAAATCTTATCTTTAAGCATGTTCTTTTATGATGGTAAAAAGACAAGTTATGTAGAACTAGTGGCAGATCAAAATATACTCTTTTACCTCGCCGTAATTTAAAAAACATTTATAAAATGTTTAAGATACTCTAGTTTCCACTGATCACCTCTCTCTCCAATTTTAAGAATTGGAAAATTAATATATATAAACAAAGATAGCTCATAAAATTTTGCCTCAATGTAAGAAAATTTATGGCTATGCCACTCCTGATCAAATGGTGATAACCAAATTTTAACATAGATGATAATAAAAAGGCTGGTTTTATTGGGATAATTAAAAACCGTCTCTTAACCATCGTAATGGACTGATTTTATTTAAATAGACAATTTAAAATAATATAAAATAGTCTAAAATGACAAAATAAAATAAAGGGAGAAAAAGCATCTAAGTTCTTACTTAACCTTATTAAATCTATACAATCAAACTAATTAATTTTCAATTATTCTTCCCAATAATTAACATGCAAGAACTCTAATATATTTAATTATCTCTCCCAAATAAAGCAGGTCTAATCTCTAAATTTGGTTTCAATATCCTAAAATTAAAATTAGAAATTGCATATATCTCAGATTTTTCCACTAGAGGATTGTTGGGATTACAAGGTGGGCTTGTCCCAGATTGGTTAAGGTGAAACCAAAAGTGACGGTCCCCTAACGTGAGGGATCATAATAGTTGACCCACATCTATTATTCTTACGTTGAAATAGTTATTTTGTTATTTAATTTTTTTTGTTGGTTTAAAGATACAAACAATGAACTGTAATAGGTAGTGATTAATCTGCAGGCAGGTTTTTGTTGTGATATGCCAACGAAATACAGTTACAAGAGCACAGATTCAGAGGAGGTTGTGTAATGTGTTGGCTCTGGGAGCACGAAGCTGGATTTGAGGCTTGGAGATAAAAGGGTTACATATTTTCCTACAAATTCGGAAGCTTCGCTTGACATTTAAATTTAGTTTATCGTTACCCCCTCAATTTCTATTTCTATTGCTAAATACATCTCACTAATATTTTTAATAAATAAACTTTAAAATAATGTAATTGGTAGTTTTACGTCAAAACATATTTTAAATCTATATTAAATAGTTTATTAAAGATTTCAAATCTTTCTCGATTAAATTATAAACATAAACTACCAATATGAATTTAGTTTTGACATCTTTATCTGACTAAAAGTTTATAAGTTCAAATCTTCCTATCCTATACCCACTTGTTGTATAAAATTAAACAAGTGTAGTAAACAAACTTTCAAGTTTTAATTCATTAAATACAAAATTTTAAAATTAAAAATTAAAGACAAAATTAAAAAAAAAAAGTGGTAAACATCTTTTAAAATAAAACAAAAAAAAAGTGTTTGACGCAAAGAAAATTAAGAACTAAATTTATAATTTAAACACCTTTATTCCTGAGACAGTCAGGATAGAAAAGTTGTGAGGATGAATTTCTTGAAAGGAGGCACAGGCTGGAGCATTCCGAGAAACCCTGTTTCAGTTTCCTCACAACTTATTCTTCCATGGCAATCTGTAGGTCTGGGAAGGACCAATTTTGGTTCTCTATTTTTCCAAACAAAATTGTCCTTCACTCCCTTTCTTCATAACTCCTCTCTTTCTCTTCATTTGTCAAATCTCAGGCAAATTCGACTCATTCGATTCAAGGCCCGTTTGGTAACGTTTCTTTGTTGTTGGTTTTTGGTTTCTGTCTTTTTCTTTTTTAACAAATAGGATCAGAACTGCTTTTTATAATTATTTCTAGTTTTTTTTTATATTAACAAAATAGAGCTGCATTTTTAAATTGTTCTTGTTTATTGATCTTTCTTTGTTTGATAATAATTTTTTTGTTTTTCTCCAAAGTTAAATTTTTTAGATGGGATATTCAAAGTTTTTGTCTTAAATAATGTTTTTCAATTATGTTTGGAGGAAGAAAAAGAAAATTAGAACAACAAAAAATTTGATTTTATTGGTCGTTTAGAAACCAAAAATAAAAAACAAGAAACGTTACTAGACGGACTCCAAATGGCGGTAACAAAAAGTGCAATCCTGGAGGTCCTAAAATTTGTTAGATTCCTCTTCCTCCTTAGTTACATTAGCGCTCAGAATCCAGTGGAATACCAATATCACAGATGCGTGGGCGCAGATTTCGTCCGGAACAGCGCCTATCATTCCAGCCTGAACGTCCTCTTCTCAGATTTCTCCGACATCGCCCCCCACAAAATATTCTACAGCACTTCCGTGGGGCGAACGCCAAACGACACCGTTTACGGCCTCTTCCAGTGCTGGGAAGACGTGGGCAACGACAACTGCGGCGCCTGCGTGGCCACAGCCACCAGAGACACAGCCAATCGCTACTGCTCCTTCAAGAAACGCGCCGAGATTTGGTACGACGGCTGCATATTACGCTATTCCGACCAATATTTCTTCTCCGTCCTGCCCACTGAGCCCAGTCAGATATTGCTCAACATGTTAGACATAGGCGCCCACAGGGCTCGCTTCAACGGCCTTGTGATGGACACGTTGAGGGCAACCACGGCTCGGGCCGCCAACGCCTCCTCTGTGGATGATATGTGCGCAACTCAAAAGGCCAATTTCACGTCAAATCAAACGCTTTACACGTTGGCACAGTGCACCGGCGATTTGTCCATTTCCAATTGCCGAGAGTGCTTAGGGCGGGCCATCAGTAATATTCCCGTTTGTTGCACTGATAAACAAGGTGGCAGAATCTTGTTCCCCAGCTGTTACGTTCGTTACGAAATTTACCCGTTTTACAAACTCACCAGGAAAAAACCTCCTCCAATTCCCCCGCTCGCTTCCAAGACTCCACCACTACCTTCTCCTCGTGCTTTTCCTCCCTCAGGTTATACATCTCACGTTTTCTTTGTCGGTCCTTTGAAATTTAATCGATTTAAACTTTTGGATCGAGCGGTAGTTTGTTCATTTCCTCCCACGAGCAAGGGGAGCCCTTTAACCATTCCACTCGTTTTATCTACAAATACAGGGAAGAAAATGCTAAAGACCTGAATTTTTGTAAAAAACAGGGGAAATCAGCTCCTCCACTCTCATAATTGTAGCCGCCGTGGGAGCAATTACTGCCTCCATTCTGCTTTCCGTTCTGGGGTGGTGTTTCTGTTTACTGCGCCAAAGAGGAAAGAAGAGAAAACCTGCTGTTAAGGAAGATAGTGGTATTTGTTGTTCTTGAATCTCATGGAATTCAAGTAGACTGATTACTGAAAACATGAAGCCAATTTTGGGTTTAATTTGTGCAGTTGTTAAGGAGATCACCACTATGGAATCTCTGCAATTTGACTTCAATACAATCGATGCTGCTACTCACAAATTCTCAGCGGAGAACAGGTTGGGGGAAGGTGGATTTGGTGCAGTCTACAAGGTACCCTGAACAACTACTTTGAATCTTTTCTTGGTATACGTAAAATTAGCAGATTTCATTTCTAAGACTGCTACTAATTTAGAGTTTGGTATTTCAGGGAAGGCTTGATAATGGACAGGACATAGCAGTGAAAAGATTATCAAGAAGATCTTTGCAAGGTTCTGAAGAGTTCAAGAATGAGGTCATATTGCTTGCAAAGCTTCAACATAGGAATCTAGTGAGGCTGTTGGGATTCTGCTTGGAGGGTGTTGAAAAGATACTTATCTATGAATATATTCCCAACAAAAGCCTCGACTATTTCCTATTTGGTTTGTTCACTTCACAGATTGTCTTTCTTTCTACCTTTATTCATTTACTTCATACTTTTAGAGTTTGTTTGATTCCCATCTTCCTATTTTGAGTGTAGACCCTGAGAGACAAAAAGAGTTGGATTGGTCGAATCGATATAAGATTATTAATGGGATTGCTCGAGGAATTTTATATCTACATGAAGATTCTCGACTTCGAATTATTCATCGCGATCTTAAAGCTAGCAACGTTTTGTTGGATGGAGATATGAATCCGAAAATTTCAGACTTTGGTTTGGCGAGAATTATTCAAGTGGATCAAAATCAAGGAAATACAATGCGAATTGCTGGTACCTAGTGAGTTTTCCTTCCATCTGAGTATGTAATTGTTGAAATGAAAGTGATGGTTGAAATCATTTAGGTCCAATGGCTGTGTAATTAGAATAAATACCGCTAATTTTTAATTTTCGTGACTTAAAACTTGAATGGTCATTATTCATAATATTGGCGTTTCAGTGGTTACATGTCTCCTGAATACGCAATGCACGGAAACTTCTCCACAAAATCTGATGTCTATAGCTTTGGAGTTTTAGTGTTGGAGATTATAAGCAGCAAGAAAAACAACACCTTTTATCTGTCGAGTCTTGCCGAAGACGTCTTGACCTACGTAAGTCGAGGATGAAGCTTTAAAATTCTTGCCCTTAGCAATTAAATTAACTCTTAAATCCTTTTTTTTTTGTCAGGCTTGGAAACTATGGAAGGATGGAATGCCATTAGAACTACTAGACTCGAGTTTGGGAGACAACTACTTACAAAATGAAGTGCTTAGATGCATACAAATAGCTTTACTATGTGTGCAAGAGGATCCTAGTCAGAGACCTTCTATGGCATCTATTGTTCTTATGTTGAATAGTTATTCTGTTCCTTTACCTTTGCCTGATGAGCCGATATTCTTCATACGAAATATAGAGAATATTATTGTAAAAGACAGTTATCAATGTACGAGTAGGTCAGTCTAGTGGTCTGTTAATAAAATATTCATAATTGAGTTGCACCCTCGACATAAAGTAAGTTTGCACCTTCAATAAGTAAGTCTGGTATGGTTTAATATATAATCTTTGATTGCAAGTACGACAAGTGTCGGATCGAGGGTACTCTCGAAATTTTGTCTCAGCCACAATAACACTTGTACAAAAGAGGTTGTGATGGCTGCAAATGCTAATGAGAACGATTCATGGAGTATGGTGGATTCAATGGTTAGGTATAAGATTTTGAGACATGAGACGAAGCATCGTTGATGGGTCTTTTGAATATTGTGAGCAAATTGACCCCGATGGACGAACTAAAATCCGGCAGAAATGAACGTGTTATTTCAAATCAATTAATCGATAGTCTGATCTGTTCTCATCGATTGAAAGATTCGACAAGTTTGTATTTCATGTATTATTTAATTTTTACAATTAAATGTAAAGCTAATTCAATAAACAACATTTGCCCAAGTAGAGCTAATTTAGCTACACATCTAGAAGCTCTCCTGTTTTACTTTTTAAATATGGTTAAATTATAGTTTTTTTAGTACAAATGTGAGGTGGAAGATCGAACTCACAATCTTTAGGTTAATTACCATTGACTTGCATTGACGGTTACATTATAGTAGTTAACTTTTATTGCATTTAGTAAATGAGCATATATGAGATGTGACGAATTTTTAATCCACAAACTTTGAATGTTGCTTTATCAAAATAAATTTAAATAGGGTAAATTATACGTAGTTTAACCTAGTAGGTGAAAATTCAAGATAGAAAATGTTAACTTTTTTAAAAAAGATTATCAAATCTTATATAACTCATTACCTGACAATTTGTTTTTAATTAGTTCAAACGCGTTAAGCCTCATAATGTTAGAATTAGTATCATTTTTTTATATATAAAAAAATTGTTGATATTAAAGATAAATATAATTTAAAATATATAGATTTAATTGAAACTCTTTAAAATTATAGGATTAAATTAATAAAATGTTGGAAACATAAAACTAAATATTGTTGCAGAATAGATGACAGAAATTAAGTACAGGAATTAAATAGCAAAATCCAGAATTGAACCTATTATTTTTATTATTTTTTTATATAATATAAGATAACAAATGTTGGAGCTATGTAGTCAATAATGGCGTATGTTCTAAATTGAGTTCGTTAAACAAAACTTTAGAAAATTAATTAAGAAGAATAATCAGAATTTGAATGAGAAAGGATTGAGGAGCACGGGTGAAGTTTAAGAGACACGTGGGTTGAGTGCCCAATCAAAAATGATTTGGAAAATCAAATTGCGCCACTCCCGTCCATTTTCCAGTTTCCAGTTCCTAAAGTCTTATTTCTAATATTGTTTTAATTTTCAAACCTGTCTGATGGCTGACACTGACACTGACAACTGACCCCACTTTTTTCTTTTTTCTTTTTATTTTCTTTTTTGTCTTTCTCAACTTTTCGTCGTGGTTGACTTCTACGGTCTACTTTTTACTGTTTGAGTACTCTTCTACGATCACATGAGATGAAGAAAATAAGTGGGAAAATTTTTATTTCTTTTACGTTTGTATTTATTTGTAGTTTAAAAATTCTAATTTCATCGTAATTTTGTATTTATTTGGATTTGTTGAGGCTTGAGGCTGCAACGCTGAACACAAAGAAATTTGCGTATTGATGTAGTGCTAAATTCGCCCTACTCTAATATTTAAACCGTTAAAGTACCATGTACCTGAAGTCTCTCCTTGAATTGATTTGGGTGAACCGACTCAATTGGATACAATCAGCTGGTGTTAAATAATCTAATCTGAAAATTTTGGTCAAATGACTTGACTCATGTCACTCCCTTAATCGTACTTTATGTAAATCTGGTAATTTTACCTACAATATAGTTTATAACTATTGGTAAGTATTTTCGTACAAAAATAATATTATTTATATAGGCATGCATTAATGTTTTTTTTTTTTCCCTTTTTCACTGGATTTTGAATGCTTCTTTAGCTTTTTTATTTTGTTGTTATATTTGAATACTTTTGTGGTTTGTGGCATTTAAGTATTTTGGTGATTGTATTGTATTTGATTTGTGAAATAGTTGGCATACTATTTTACATTTTGATTTTAACCTAATCAATATTAATTTTACCAATCATTTTCATTTAGAGTTTATTTTAACGAAATTGAATGTTCGAAGTTAATGGTGAATTTAGGTAATATCGTTGGCCTCAAATTATACATTCATCAACTCATCTATTTATATCCCTTCCTTCACGTGACTTTATAGTTTATGAGAAAAAAATACTAAATAAATCAAATGATCCTTATCTTTTAAATAATTCTAATTTGTCAAAATGTTCAATTCTACTCCTAATATATTAAAAATCCTCAATAAAATTGTTCAATAAATAATGATAAAATTTTGTTAAAACTTGACACAACATTTAATTCTTGTGTATTAATAAATTTGGAAACGTGGATATATAGTCTCTTATTAAGCAAACTCATTTTGCATCATAGATATCTAAACATATTAATAAAATAATAATTTAATGATACACTCCTGATAATTTTTTTTACCAAGAAACTTAACGGTGAATTTTTAATAAATTGAGAGTAAAAATGAAATTAAACAAAAAATATTAAGGATCAAATAGAAATGACGTATAACCGAGACCAATTGAAATATTTAGCCAAAAAAAAAAACCGGGTTGTGGAGTTCTCGTCCGTCGTTCTCCCGATTTAATACACAGCTGACACCGACTTTACTCTGTTTTCCCCTGTATCTGACGTCTCCTCATTGCATTATAATTTAAAATTGTCCTCATCAGATTATTAGTCTCCTTTCTTCATTTTCATTTTCCCCCAAAATTTTGTTAGTTCATCCCCAAACCTTGAAGATGTTCATGGCATGAAAAAACAGACCCGACTCTCCCAATTAATGGTCACTCAAAAATGCTGAATTCTGTTAGTTTCATCTTCCTCCTCAGTTTGGTATTGATTATCCATGGAAACGCTCAGACCCCAGTTCCATACCCATATCGGAGTTGCTTACCGGCCAATTTCACCCAGAACAGCACCTACCAGTCCAGCCTCAATCTTCTCTTCTCAAATCTCTCCGCCAACGCCCCCGGAATTAACGGATTCTTCAACACTTCCGTCGGCCGGACCCCAAACGACACCGTCTACGGCCTCTTCCAGTGCCGCGGCGACGTCACCAACACCACCTGCAAAAATTGCGTGGCCTCCACCGCCAGAAACGTAGCCCAGCAGTTCTGTCCTCTCAGAAAAGCCGCTGTGGTTTGGGACGACGACTGCATATTCCGCTATTCCGACCAATCTTTCTTCTCCGCCGTGTCCACAGACCCAGATCTGACATTACTTAACACGGCCGATATTGACGCAGATAAGGCTGGCTTTAACCAACTAGTGATGTCCACATTGAGGGCAACCGCGGCTCGGGCGGCCAACGCCACTGCCGTGGGTGAATTGTTTGCAACTCAGCAGGCAAATTTCACATCGGAACGTACACTTTACACGTTAGCGCAGTGTACCGGCGACTTGTCGAATTCCAATTGCGAAGATTGCTTAAGACAAGCTGTCGGTGCTATTCCGGGTTGTTGCTCTAATAAACAAGGTGGGAGAGTTTTGTACCCCAGCTGCTACGTTCGTTACGAAATTTACTCGTTTTACGACCTCACGAGGGCGAATCCGCCGCCGCCTCCGGCAACTCCCCCTCCCAATTCCACAACACCACCGCCACCGCCACCTCCTCCACCAGGTTATTTCCCCTCTCCCATTGTACTTTTCTTTCCCTAGCAATTACTGAAGACTTCAATTTGTAAAAAACAGGGGAGCACAGATCCTCGATTGTGCTAATTGTAGCCATCGTGGCTCCAATTACTGTCTCCATCCTGCTTTTCGTTCTGGGGTGGTGTTTCCTGCGCCGAAGAGCAAAGAAGAGACATAGTGCTGCAAAGGAAGATAGTGGTATTTGTTGTTTTTTGATTGTCTAATTTTGGAATTCAAGTAGATGGATTTCTGAAAATATGATGCCAAGTTTTGGTATAATTTGTCCAGTTGTTAATGAGATGACCACTGTGGAATCTCTGCAATTCGATTTCAATACAATCGATGCTGCTACTAACAAATTCTCAGAGGAAAACAGGTTGGGTGAAGGTGGATTCGGGGCAGTCTACAAGGTACCAAACAATTACTTAACATCTTTTTTTTTTTTTGGTAAAATTAGCAAATTTCATAGTAATTTGTAGGATTGCTCGTGATTTATGGGTCATGTTATTTCAGGGAAGGCTTGAGAATGGACAAGAGATAGCAGTGAAAAGACTATCAAGAGGATCTTTGCAAGGTTCCGAAGAGTTCAAGAATGAGGTTATGTTGGTTGCTAAGCTTCAACATAGAAATCTAGTGAGGCTTTTGGGATTCTGCTTGGAGGGTGAAGAAAAGATTCTCATCTATGAATATATTCCCAACAAAAGCCTTGATTACTTCCTTTTTGGTTTGTTGTTTGCTCATTGTCTTTTTATACTTTCGCTTCATATTCCAGCTTGTTTGATTTCTTTCCTCGTTTTTATAACTTGGTTGTCTAAAATGTTCAGATCCTGAGGGGCAGAGAGAGTTGGATTGGTTGAAACGGTATAAGATCATCCATGGGATTGCTCGAGGAATCTTATATCTACATGAAGATTCTCGCCTTCGAATTATTCATCGTGATCTTAAAGTCAGTAACATTTTGTTAGATGGAGATATGAATCCAAAAATTTCAGATTTTGGTATGGGGAGAATTTTTCAAGTGGATCAAACTCAAGGAAATACAAGTCGGATTGTTGGTACCTAGTAAGTTTTCTTTCAACTCTAAAGCTTCCTAGCTATGTCATTTATTCTCAACGGTTGTGTTATTGAACTTGTACCACTAACTTTTAATTCCTCGTGCCCACGGACTTGAATTGCCATTATTTGACTATGCCTGTGTTTCTAGTGGTTACATGTCTCCCGAATATGCAATGCACGGAAACTTCTCTATAAAATCTGATGTGTATAGCTTTGGAGTCTTAGTTTTGGAGATCTTAAGTGGCAAGAAAAACAACACATTTTACTTGTCGGATCTTGCTGAAGACATTTTGACCTATGTAAGTTGAGGATGAAAGTTTTCCATTCTTATCAAATGATGTGTTATAGAGTTAAACTCTTTAACTTTTTTTTTTTTTCTGTCAGGCTTGGAAACTATGGAAGGAAGGGATACCATTAGAACTATTGGATCCGAGTTTGAGAGACAACTACTCAAGAAATGAGGTTCTTAGATGCATTCATATTGCTCTACTATGTGTTCAAGAGGATCCTGGATCTCGGCCTTCCATGACATCCATTGTTCTTATGTTGAATAGTTATTCTGTTACCTTGCCATTACCTGAAGAGCCGGCATTCTTCATGCGCACTAAAGACCATGGTATTATAATAGATAGTGATCAATCTATGAGTAAGTCTATCCAATGGTCTGCTAATGAAACATCTATATCTGAATTGCATCCACGATAGGGTGTATCGTGTGTGTGTGTCTTGTTCGCATCCATAAATGATATGACTTCCATTTAATGATTATAATGATGGAAAATTCTTGTAAGTTTAAAGTTTATATTTTTATATTGTTGAACTCAATATGCAGATCAGTGGAACTTTGATAATTAAGATTTTAATGTCTTTTTTATTCTCGCGGAAGTGATGCTTAATTATCATTGTTTTTTGAATTCCCGGGCTTAATGATGCCTCCACAATTAATTAAGTAATTTAATGGAATTTTGAAGGTGGTTGTTCATTGTGGTTTTGCTTTACTTATTTTAAAATACATTGAAAATCTTGACGCATTTTAGATAAGAAAAGGGATTTAAGATTTTATACTTTTGTAAGTATATTTCTAAGCATTGGAAGTTATTTTTGGAAAGTTACAGAACACAGAGATTGTTAGTATATATCCCAACTTGAAGAAACAAAATTTTAATTTTAAGAGAAGACTATCAATTTAGGTTCTTCTCGTTCATGTAATTATACTTATCCAATTGCTCCTAACATATGGATAGCCTCTTAAAATTTCATATTTAAAACATATTTTTATTTTTTTAATTATACTGATCAATGATCAATTGTATTTTATCAAAAATCTTAAATTATATTTTAAAGACTTAAATTACACACTTTCTTCTTCCTTGAAAAAGCTACAAATTAATAAACATTATTATTAAGCATGTAATTGAATTAATGAGAGACTAAAAAAAATACTTTAATTTAGCTTTTTATATTTTTACAATTTCAATTATACTCTTTTCTATTTGTGAGTATTAAAATTGACTAGTAAAGAGAGAAAATGCCGAAATTTCATTCTTAAGATAAATTAGAAGCGTTCTTCTCTTTGGTGACACAATTCATCCTTTAAACTCTTGTCAACTCATTAAATAACATATCTTGTTAATAGAAATAATAATATTGAAAAATGTTAAAAACAAAATATAGTAAATTGAAAAAAATATCTAAAATATATGAAATGAAGGGGGTTGTGACTTGTGAGTGTGAATAGGACAAGTTGAGGAGTAGGTGACAAAGGTTTAATTTTCTGCGTGGTTCATTTATATGTTTGTACAATTCTTCCAGTTTTCTGCATCATTTCCCTTTACATTGCTTTACGACTTTTCTTTCTTTGTCTCTGTTTGTGAAATTAATGTTCGAAGGGCTAAAGACCAAGATTTGATGACTTTTCTATTCTTTATTTTTCCATCTGATAATTGGAAAAATTGGATAAATGAGACCAGGAGATTGACTTGGCCATTGACTGCCTCCTGTCCCTACCAAGTCTTCTAGTTAGGCCACAACTTTCTCTTTTATCCACACTACAGCTGGACTTACTCAATTTGTTCCATTCAACTCCTATATTTATTTCTATGTCATCTCTCAAATTTTCAAAATTACACATCAATCCCTATATTTACCAAACAGTTCTAAATTTTTTCTAAGTTGAGTTAGCCCGCAATTTGATGATTCCATGATATCTAAATTTGTTGGAAGTAAATTCTAGATTAGTCCAACCCCATTAACAGTAACCGCAGTAACACTTTAGTTACGGTCATAAACGGCGGCTCCCCATTAACAGCGCAATCCCTATATTGTCCTCCTCCCCTTCCGCACCGCCACCCTCCACGGCGGCTCCTCCACTGCTTTCAGGTTAGATATTGATTCTTCCCGATCAAAGCTAATATAACGAAATTAAGGCTGGATAATCCTTTCAAATTAAAAAATAATAATAAATCAATTCTTAATCAAATTTTATTTTTTAAATTTTTAAATTTTGACTTAAAAATATTAAGAGGTCAAAACAAATAAATACACGAGGAAAAATAATGTTTACAAGTTTAATTTTTCTTAAATAGAAAATTAATAACAAAAAAAAAACAATATTTGGTTGCTAATGTATGTAGTATGTTGCCCACCCTCAAAATTTGAAAGCTTTTTCAAATAGAAAAGTTATTATTTTATTTTTCAACTTATCTTTTTTACTTTATAAAAATTTAATGACTTTGCACCTAACTATCATTCAAACAAAATGGCTGTACAGTCTTGAGCAATGAATGGTTGGTTTTTTTTCTCTCTTATTTAGAAATATATATTAATTACCGTTGAACTACGCTCGCTTTGACATTTTATTATCTTTTTTTTATTATAATTACCACATAAATTTAAGCAAAAGTTGTATTGTTTCGTTGGGACAGGAAAAGGGAGAGCGACAATGGCGACGGTGATTGGCATTATTGCAGGCTGTTTACTGTAAGTTTAATTCTCACGTGCGTAGAAGAGGCGTTATTTGGCTAAATAATTTCTATTTTCTATTTCTCCACTCATATTCCACTTAATAATTGCGCTGTAATATTTTATTACCGAGTTAGTACTTTTTTTTTTGTTTTTTAGAATAATTACGCAGTTAATCTTGTATTTATTTTATTTATAGCCTAAACTTCAGTATTCTTCTCTAGTCAATGCATAATTCCAAACTTAATCACTTTCGTTCACACGTAAAATAGTGGGAAAATTTTCAGAATTTGCCAACATACCAACAATTCAACAATTAAGTTCTAAATAAATTAATTAAAAAACTAAATTTATTTTTTAGTAGGTGGCAATTAAAAAACTAACTATTATTACTTATAATTATTTAAAAAGTATCTTGAATATGGTGAAAACAAAAATTTTGAGATCCATCTGTTTTCATATTTGATAATAAAATGAAGGAAAAAATATACTTTTTTTACAGGTTCTGAGAGTGTTTATGTGGTCCCTCTAGTTTCAAAATGAACACTTTTGCTGCTGAAGTTAGATTTGGTGTCTATGTGGTCCCTAAAGTTTTAAAATAGACATTTTTAATCCTTGAAGTTTAATAAATAATTCTAAATAATCTCTAATTTGACTAATGTTAAAATGACGTGACATTTTAATTGCTTACTGAGTAAAATATATTAATTTAATAATATATTTACGAGGGATTGGAATTCTCCCTTTTTTTAACGAAAAAATTATCTCCCTTCTCGCCTTCTTCTTCCTCCTCTCCTCTGGTGAAAAACTCACTACCAGCCCGTCAACTTCCAACGATCTTCTGTTTAGCAGATTTGCCTCGACCATGCTAGGGCTGGTGGAGGGGATGATTTAGGCCCACAAAGCGGGTCTGGATGTGGGTCTGTTCTCGAAATTGCTGGAAAGCGGGTCCGGATTTGTATAGGAGCAGGATATTGAAGAGAGTTTCGAACCTGCAGGGTTCTTTCTAAACCACTTTGTGAAGATCTGGAAATATGCTTGAAGGAGTGCCAAAATACGGTGGCTCAGCAGCTTTATCTGTCACTTAAGGCTGATGGGGAAGGGAATTTGGGATTCAGGCGCTGATCTTATCCCTAGACCGCGGAGCTTATGCCCGAGGTTGGCGAAGGTTAATGCCCTAGCCATTTATGAATAATTGGAGCTTACGATCTTTGTGGTCGGCAAAGGTCGTCGGAAGTTGGCGAGCCCCAATGGTGAGATTCACGGGAGAAGGGAGGTGCTGGAGAAGGGGAGGAAGAAGAAGAAGTTGCAAGGGGATATAATTTGATAAAAAAAAAAAAGAAAGAAAGAAAAAGAAATAAGAAAAGTCCAATAACTCATAAATATATTATTAAATTAATATACAATTCAAGTACTAAGTCATCTTAACATTAGCCAAATTAGAGACCATTTAGAACTATTTCTTAAACTTTAAAGATTAAAAATGTCTATTTTAAAACTTTAAGGACCACATAGACCCCAAATCTAAACTTCATGATAAAAAATGTTCATTTTGAAATTTTAGGATCAAATAAACACTCACTCTAAATCTGAAGGACCAAAAGTATATTTTTCCCTAAAATGAAATACAAGTGATTTGAGAAAAACTCTGGAGTGATTAATAAATTTAATTTTAATTCCACTCATAGTAGGCCTTCAAAATATTAATAAGTACTAATATGAATCCACCATAAAAAGTTATTTGTGATATGGTGGATGAATTCTATTACACGATACTCTCTTCTAATGAGGTAAGAATCTAAACGCTTGGTAACGTTCCCGTTTCTCGTTTCTCGTTTCCAATTTTCTTAAGAAATCTAAATATTTTACAACTAACTTTGTTTATTGTTTCTCCTTTTATGAGAATACTCTATAGGAATTTTGGAAACAACCAAGTTTCTCATTTTTTGTTTCCATTTCCAATTTGTTCCAAAACATAAATAAAAAAGACTGTTTTATCATACTTGAATTCTTAGAAGTTGGAATTTGTCATATATTTTTCTTCATTAAAAATAAAGAAATAGAAATAAGAAATAAGAACGTTATCAAACGAGTCCTAATTGTCGTTAAAAAAAAAACATAGATTTAAGTGCAGTCTTAAGGCGTTATTTTTGTTGAAAAGCAAAAAAATGAGAATATAGCTAATTGCCACGATGCATTTCTATTGTCCTTATTAATGGCACAAAATGGGTTAAGTTTGTGTTTGGGTGTATTTCTGTCACTAATAATTTTAAAATATGAATATTTGAATTTCTATTGTTACGGTTATTTGGTGTAAAGTATAATAAAATAAATTTATATGAATAGTCAATATATAATTAATTGTAATTGTCAATAAAATTACTTGATGATCTTAATATTCGCATAAATATTTGTAGTTACGGAAAGGAAAAAAAAAATCACTCATGAATTCGAATGATTAATAAAGTTTTTTTTCTCCTTAAAAAAAAGCAATATTTTTTTATCACGTCACTAAACAAAATGGAAATTTACCGGTTAAAATCACATCCCAATAAACTAAAGATTTTATATAAACTAAAGTCTAGTAAAAAATATTTAACTAAATAAAAATACTTTTCAAAGTTATTAAACTTAGTATGACTTAACCTGTTAAAAAAATCGTTATTGATAAAGTTTTAGTCGTAAAACTCTTAATTTTATCTACTTAAAATTCTCATCTCATTAACAGCTTAAACTAAAATAAAGAAAGATTAGCTTTAGGTATAATATGAAACAAAAAAATTTTAACTCCATAATTTTGGCGAAAATTATAGGTTTCTTCATTCTTTTCCTCCATTCTTCTGGTTCATTTTTCTACTATTTACTTCTTGCCTATTTTGTTGCTAATTAGTACTTGTTTGCTATTAGAATTAGTTATGTTTATTTTTGCTATTGATAAAAATATATTCACATATTATCATTTGTTGAAATGATTCCAATTAATAGAAATAAAGCATTAAGTATCTTGTAAGATGATGGAAATTAAAAGTTTAACCGAGTTAATCACTTAAAATAGACAAATTTATCTCACAAAAAAAATTAATTGCAAAACAAACTATTTGTTAGCAGAGCGCATGGTGGTGAAAGAAATTGATCAACTCAACTCATACAATTTAGATTGGATTATAAACTTTAAAAATAACTTCATAGTTGAATATAAGAAAGCCTCAATTTATCCTCACTCGTGAAACAAGACAAGATGTTGTTCCCAAATCAACCTAAGAAAAAAATTTCCAGCCATTGGTTTCTTTTCAATCACCACACTTTTTTTCCAAGTCTAAAGAGCAGCCTATCTTCAAAGTATTAAATGCTCAAATAGCAATGAAAATTCAACGAATCTCGCAGCAGCAGCAGCAATGGTTTCCACAAGATTCCTCTGTTCCCTTTGCTTCAGTTTCATCTTCTTCTTCTTCATACCCATTTCCCACCCCCGCTTGGCAATCGCTCAGCCAGATTTTCAATTTCATTACTGCTTAAATGATGGCAACTACACCACTAACAGTACCTACAAATCCAACCTCGACCATCTCCTCTCCACCTTCACCACCAGCCACCAAATTGACTTCGGCTTCTACAACTTCTCTTACGGCCACCTCCACAAAGCCAATGCCATAGGCCTCTGCAGAGGAGACATAATGCCAGACGCCTGCCGCAGATGCCTCAACGACTCCATAACCCTTCTCACAAGGCTCTGCCCCAACCAGATTGAGGCCATTGGATGGTACGACGACTGTATGCTCCGCTACTCCGACCGCTCCTTGTTCGGCTTCATGGAGCCTTCCCCTGCTTTCTACGCCTGGAATGCCAACAACGCTTCGGACCCCGACCGGTTCACTCAGGTGGCCGCAATTTTGCTTCAACAACTCACCCCCACGGCTGCCTCGGGTGATTCTCGCCGAAAGTTCGCCACCGGAAGCACCGCGGTTGCCAATTTCCCAGTCATTTACGGGGCTGTGCAGTGCACCCCTGATTTGTCTGACCAAGATTGCAGCAACTGCTTGCTTGGTGCTGTTTCACAAATTGGACTGTGTTGTGGCGGGAGGGAAGGGGGCAGAATTGGCAGACCCAGTTGTAATTTTAGATTTGAGAGGTACAAATTCTTTCAGGAAGCACCGCCGTCGCTGCCAACGCTGCCTCCTTATCTGTCTAATACGCCTGCAAAAGGTAATTAAGTGGATGCACAGAAATTTCTTTCTATTTCTGATCATCGCTGAAAACAGAGTGCCCTGTTTTTTTCCAGGAAACGCATCTCGAACAGTCGTCATCATAATTGTGCCTGTTATTGTGGTTGCTGTTGCAGCTGCTGTAGTGCTAATAATCAGCATCCGCGCCTTCCTAAGGACAAGAAAGTTAAGAAACTATGCAGCAAAAAGTAAGAGGATTAAAACACTCCTTTTTAACGCCACTTTCGTTGCTAGAGGACTCACCGTTGTTTGTTTTAATAACTTACAGATCTGCCTGGAGACGGAAGTACAAATGTAGAGTCTTTGCAGTTCGATTTTGACACCATTAGAATCGCAACGGATGGGTTCTCTGATGCAAATCAACTTGGGAAAGGTGGCTTTGGAGCTGTTTATAAGGTGATGCGCAGTTTAACAAGATGATTGAGAATTTGGAAAGTTTGCGTTTTGTGAAATACCCATTTCATTTTGTGATGTAATTCACAGGGTCGGCTTCCTGATGGACAAGATATAGCTGTGAAACGACTGTTTGAAGGATCCACTCAAGGAGATGATGAATTTAAGAATGAAATCTTGTTGGTGGCTAAGCTTCAGCATCGGAATTTAGTTCAACTCTTGGGTTTCTGCTTCAAGAAGAATGAAAAGCTTCTCATATATGAGCTTGTTGAGAACTCGAGTCTTGAGAAATTCCTATTTGGTAAGCCTTTTCTCTGCTTAGTTCTCTCTGTTTGTCCAACTTCAACTCTTTATTTCATTTAGGGTATCTTGAAATGTTGAGAAGAATTTCTATGAATTATCCTAATTTGTTTCGAGTATACATGTGTAGATCCTATGAAGCGTGAGAGTTTAGATTGGAAAACTCGGTACAATATCATCAAAGGGATTGCTCGAGGACTTGTTTACCTTCACGAAGATTCTCAACTTAAAATTATTCATCGAGACCTCAAAGCTAGTAATATTTTGTTAGATGCAGAGATGAATGCTAAAATTTCTGATTTTGGTACAGCAAAATTGTTTGTATACAACCAAACACAAGGAGATACAAGAAGAATCATTGGAACTTAGTAAGTACTAGAACCAACTACATGCTACATTTTATGTTGTGGGGTGTTTACTAATTCATTTTTTATATTAATATTGAATGAAGTGGATACATGGCTCCAGAGTATGTATTGAAAGGTCATTTCTCAACCAAGTCAGATGTCTTTAGTTTTGGTGTTCTAATTTTGGAGATTGTGACTGGACAAAAAAATAGTCGAGCTCAAACTGACAATGAGATTGTAGAAGGCCTTGTAAGCTATGTAAGTACTATAATTCTTTTTCTTTTTCTTTTTTTTCACTATTGGAGAAATTTTAACGTCTTTATTGTCCATGGATCTGAATACTCAATCAAGTGTTGCTCTTGTAGGCATGGAGAAATTGGCAAAAGGGAACTGCTCTAGATATTATAGATCCTTGTTTAAAAAATGGTTCAATAATAGAAATGGCCACATGCTTTCATATTGGACTGCTATGCGTTCAAGAAAATTTAGAAGAGAGGCCAACAATGACTAGTGTATTTCTTATGCTTAACAGCGGCTCCATCACACTTCCAAGGCCTTCTCAACCTGCTTTCTTCATCAATAGTACTTACTCTCAAAAGTCTGGGCAATTCGAGCACAACTCAACTCAAAATTCCAATGACATGTCAATTACTGAACTTTATCCTCGTTAGTTTTAATTTATATATGCAGACTTGGAATTGATGTAAAAACAAGTTGTATGATGGGTTAACCTAAGTAAAATTAATAAATATTTACAAGACTTTTAACTTTCACAATTTTTAATAGGCATTAAAATCTTAAATCCAACCCATGGTTGCCTCAAACAAATGTGACTTAATCTCTCCTCAATTCATCATTATTCTGTCTTCATTCAAAGAGATTGTTCCTATATCTACATTTTTATTTGAAATCTAAAGATTTGATCACAACTTTAATATTATTTACTAGGACAAGGATCGTTTTTCTCTATTTCTAAGATGACGTGATATTACCTATTTTAAATCAAAGTTCAAAAACCTGTCTTAATACTCATGTGATCTCCTCTACTTCTCGAGATCGAACTCACAATTTCTTGATTGGAGATATATATCAATTATTTGGCCAATCATATAGAACTTTTAAGAAAGAAAACTTAATATCAGATATCCTATATATGAAAAAATATAAACTAGTGATGGAAAGAAAAGCATGGACAAATAAACACCAAAGCAGGTGCGAAAAAGTGAAGTCTTTTTTATTCTATTATTTTATTTTTTATATATTCTGTTTCCACACCATATTATAAGTTATAAAAATCAATTGGTCTCCCGTCAAAACAAAATATCAATTGGTCTGCGAGGAGTGAAAGTCACGCACGGTTTGAAAATGGCGTGTGAAGTTGCAGTGGTTTCAACTTCCAATCGATCTTCGTAGTTCAAAGGCAGCCACACGATTTGTTTACTAGACTTTTCAGAAAAATCACAAATGACTCCAAAGTGGAAATGAATTATGAAACGACTGGCCAACCAAGCAGCGTTTCCTACGGGGCACTCATTTTCATCATTGATGCTGAATATCAAACCAGGAAACGTGGCAAGACAATTGGCCGAGGAGGCTTTCGAAGATAAGCTAGGACGGCTGGATCGTTCACATGGAGGTATCTGCACGTCCTAACTCAACACTGATGTAGTGCTCTTTAGAAAGAGTTTGACTATTCTATTTATAAGAGAATAATATGGGAGGAAGTATGCTTTAGATGTTGTTCGAAAGGACGAGTTGAAATGTCCGTCCACGATCACGTGGTCTTCTCACTTTGCCTATCGACTTCATATTGGGCCTAGATTCCACGTGAAGACTAGGGAGGGGTCAATGCCTCACTCTCCGATTCTACCCATAACAATAAATATCAAATTTTGAAGGAAAAGTTCCATTGTTATTTATGTGTGTTTAGCGGTGGATCTATCAAACTATTGAATCATAAACAATATTTAGTTTTACCAAATACAATCAATATGTTCAAACTAAGTATCATATATATATATAGACACATACTTATAAAAGTAGCACGTCTAAATCCAACTAAACACACACAACTAACTTATGAATCTTGAAGAGAAAAGGAAAACAAAGAACTGGCCAAAGGTATAAATTTGAGTGATTGCGTTCAATTTAATAATATTCAAGTTTTATAGTTAAATTTGTCTTTTAACTTGCTGAACATTTTTTTTCAAAGTTTAAATCAAACTTAAAATCATTAACATAACTCTAGCTAAACGCTAAATGATACATTCATTTCTTTAATTGAAGGCTTAAATTTTTATACTACTATTCGACAAGATAAAATCAACTTAAAATTCATATGGTCCCTTTTGTTTGTAAATTTTCTCGACACATTTAATCTGACTCTTTGAAAATAATTAATGTGTTTTGAATTAAAAAAAGTGACTTAATAACCTGATATTGACTAATTAATTCATAAGATATATATCGTTTATTTCATCCAAGTACTGTAAGTACTTTTTTTTTTAATTAACAAAAATGACTTAATAACCTAATATTGACTAATTTATACTATTTGTTACCATCCTCTTCCATTTCCTTGAACCAATGGAGTCCGGCCTCACAATTTGAAAGGGCAGAGCAGAACAAGGGAAGATGATTCTGCAGCAACAATTTGCAATGCCTTCTCCAACCTCTCTCAGTTTCTTCTTCTTAACACTGATCGCACATCCACTGGCATTTGCCCAGCCAAGATTCTTAGCCCATTTCTGCGTCAACGGAAGTAATAACAACACCGCCGCCGCCTACAGAGCCAATCTCGACCACCTCCTATCCACCCTCACCACCGACCATCAAATTGACTATGGCTTCTACAACTTCTCTTACGGCCACGAAAACAGAGCAAACGTAATCGGACTGTGCAGAGGAGATATTTCGCCGGAGGCTTGCCGGAGATGCCTCAACTACTCCAGAGATCTTCTCCCCCTCCGGTGTCCGACCCAGAACGAGGCGATCGGATGGTACGACAACTGTATGCTCCGTTACTCCGACCGCCCCATCTTCGGCTCCATGGAAATTCTGCCGCGTCAGTATTTGTGGAACGTAAATAATGCGTCGGATGGGGAAGGGTTCACCCAGGCGGCGAGGAATCTGATTGTGGATCTCATAGGTGAAGCCACCGCCGGTGACTCCCGTGTCAAATTCGCAATCGGGAACGCGACTGTTCCCAGATTTCCGACCATTTATGGGTTGGCGCAGTGCACGCCGGATTTGTCTCGCCGGCAGTGCAACGAGTGCTTGGTCGGGGCTCTGCCTCTAATTCGAGAGTGCTGTGATGGAAAGAAAGGGGGTAGAGTTCTTAGACCCAGTTGTCATTTTCGATACGAGAGCTACCCTCTCCTTCAATCACCGCCGTCGTCGCCGCCACCGCCACCGCCGTTGTCACAACCACCTCCGCCCCCTCTTCTACTTAACAGAACCACAGATGGTACGACTGCCGCTTTCTGATTCAAAAACCAATAAGCTAAATGCCTCACTAACCTACTCTGTTTTTTTCCCTTTCAGGAAATACAAATAACAAATCTGTGACTTCCATCGCCGTCGCAGTGCCAACTGGTCTTGTTGTAGTTGTTGCTGTGCTGATGATCATTATCTGCATGTTTATGAGAAGAAGGCCAGAAATTGATGGAACTAAACGTAAGCTAATTATGATGGGGTTTTCCATTAAAATATCCTTGAGCTTGTGGAGGAAGAAATGAAGTTTCAAATTTCAATCCAGAATTAATGGTAGTAATAAGCAAAACCACGAACCCACCATTAATTATGTTAAATTTGAACCCACAGGTGGATCCGAGGAAGAAATCCCGACTGTGGGGTTTTTGCAGTTTGATTTCGATATCATTAGAATCGCAACCGATGGATTTTCGGATGCAAATAGACTTGGGGAAGGTGGGTTTGGAGCTGTTTACAAGGTAATCAGAAAATTAATTTTGTTTTATAATTAGCTGGTGAAGAATTTGAGCGATTTCCTTTTTAATTTGCCTTTGTGTTTGTGATTCCATGAACAGGGGAAGCTTCCCAACGGACGAACCGCAGCGGTGAAACGGCTGTCTCAGATTTCAAGGCAGGGAGATGTGGAGTTTAAAAACGAAGTCGTTTTGGTAGCTAAGCTTCACCATCGGAATTTAGTTAAGCTTTTGGGTTTCTGCTCCAAAGAAAATGAAAAGCTTCTCATTTATGAGTTTTTGCAGAATGGAAGCCTTGAAAAGATCATCTTCGGTATGATTATTGATTACTATGTTAAGTACTTTTTCTTTTTTCTCTTTAGCTCAACTCTTTATTTAACCATATCTTCATATACTAATCATTAAAATATGTAGATCCTGTCAAGCGTCTATGTTTGGATTGGGCAAAACGCTACAAAATTATAAAAGGCATTACTCGAGGGCTCATTTACCTCCACGAAGACTCCCGAATCAAAATTATTCATCGAGACCTAAAAGCTAGTAACATTTTATTAGACGCGGAGATGAATGCTAAAATTTCAGATTTTGGCACGGCAAGATTATTCTTATCAGAACAAACACGAGGAAATACAAGTACAATAATCGGTACCTAGTAAGTACAAGTGTTATTAATATTATATAAATAAAGTATTCTTTGTTAACATGCATGTTAAGTCTCCTACTACTAATTCTTGATAATACTTGAAATATCTCAGTGGATATATGGCTCCAGAATATGTAAAACATGGCCATCTCTCAGCAAAATCAGACGTCTTTAGTTTTGGCGTTTTAGTTTTAGAAATTGTGACAGGAAAAAGTAATCACATGGGTAGTAATGAGAATATAGAAGATCATCTTATAAGCTACGTAAGTATATCTTTTTCTTTTTTTTTTCCTTTCCTCCCTAAAATAATGTCATTTGGAGTTTGAGTAACATGAATTGAGTTGTTGTATGTATAGGCATGGAGAAATTGGAGGGAGGGAAGAGCATTGAATATTGTGGATCCTTCCATTAAAATTCAAAGTGGGATGAGAAATGAAGTGGCAATATGCATCCAAATTGGGTTACTTTGCATTCAAGAAAAAGTTTGTGAGAGGCCATCCATGGCTTCTGTACTTGTTATGCTTAACAGTGACTTGGCTGATCTCCCAACACCATCTCACCCTTCTTTCTTTATGGACATTAAACAAACTTCACAGATCACAGAGTTGGGATTAAACCAGATTTGAAGGTAACTCTGTTTTGGGAGTTCCAATTTTAGAAACTTCCATTGTTCCTTTCATTAACGTTGAAAGATGAATTGTATATGTCAGTTCAGTTTGAAATGTTTATCTCATATTAATTAATACCCTAGAGAATAACTTCAAGTGTTTATTAAATCAAATCAAATCTTGTTTAATAAAATGTTGAATCATATTTTGGAATGTAGTGAGTAGAATATGAATACAAGTATTTGACTTTGTTCATTATAATCAAGGTTCCATTTGGGATTTTGATTTTGGAAGGGTCAAAACTAGAAGTGAGTTGAGAAGAATTTTAACATTCTAAGATGTTTGATCAAATTGATTTTTGTTATTAATTTAAATGAAATCACTTTTTAGTTTACTTTAATTTGCAAAATCTGGTACACACCTGCTTTTGAATGCAGCTTTCTGTAT